CCATGCATGGTTTACCTGTTAGTGCGAAGCATTTCTTTGCCCTATGCGAGCTTTATAATCCAGATTCCAACACTTTTCTGACCAGGCAGGCACGGAGAGTTGGGCTTGGCTCTCCATGAGATGCATAAGATTTCTGGCTTGCCCATGGGTCAGATGTTATATCAGGAGTATTTTCCCTCCAACCATGAATTGAGTCAGCTGAAGGATCGCATGCCCGACCGTTATGAGACCTTATGGGACCTCACTTGTCACTATCACATTGCTTTGGCGCAGTCTAAGCCCTTAGCGAAGAGGACCAAATCAAATGTGAGCCTGAAGCAGTTCGCATCTTATTTGTTCAGGAATCTGGAGAGCAATTCTGGCGAAACTATTTGTGAACTGGCACCGCTTACTCCTTCAGAGGTCAATGATTTGCTGAAGAAGGTTGACACTCACTCCTATACCAATAGCAGTCCTGAGAGCGGCTTTCCTGCAGGGACCAAGTTCAGATCATTTTTATGGCATGCGACTGCGCCGATTCGTCCGATGACCCTTCTTGCCGGTTACCTCGCCATCTGGTTAAAGAAATGCGTGGTCCCGTATCAGTCTGGTGACGCTCTGCCACTGGAAGTGCTCTACCCTGCGGTTCAACTTGCCTACAGAAAGGAACTTTCCCTTTATCCGGTGATGGTGGCTAACATTCATCGAGGGCTTCGACAGATTTCCGGTGCTTTTACACGGGAGGAGAAGGAATCGCCGACTCAGATTCCTACCACTAAGGTGGAGCTTCCGTATGTTTATTTGATGGCTTGGTTCGTCCTTCATCGTTCTGACATGATGTCGGTACCGCATGCCATGGACCACTCTGTTCCCTTACTACAGCTGCTTGAGAATAGCGAGTAGGAAGGCCGAGGATTCTCTGATATCAGGAGGCAGCTACAGGTCCACAAGTGCTGGGCATTCTCCACTTGTCCAGCCGGTACGGCGAGTGTTTGATTGATGAGGAGAAGCCGAGGGAGTATAGGACTTATCTGGATATGGGCTGCTTTAATTGGCTAGTGAACATTAGGCCGGGTTACCTGACTTTCCGGGTGGGGAATCAGTGTTTTATAGAGCCATATCTACCCTGCCGATTCGCTCGCCAGTTTGGTTATGACCAGCTTTATGTCGGGAACCCGTGCCAGCAGCTTCGGGCCCATGGAGGTTTGGTGGACAGTCTTCGTGCATGGTTGTGGACCGTGACAGGCTGCATTGGTGCTAGGTTCAGTCTCCCGGGTGCTGAGCGACAGTTGAACCTCACTTTCTTGAGCTGCAGGTGGTTGTTAGCAGCTAATAAGACTGTCCCTGTAAAGCCTATTGAAGAGTTGGTGGCCAAAGAAGCTTCTCAGATTGATTCTCATGTGATCCGGGACGGTGCTCGGTCACACAGGGCGCGGGGCAAAACCCGCCGACTTGATGCCGAAGGCCATAGAGCCTTTAGTTCTGCTGGAGAGGCCTCAGGCGGAGATCCTAAAGACTACGAGGCGGATTTTGAGCGAGGTTAGTCACACATCTTTTCCCTCTGTATTTCCGAATTGTTAGTCTTGACCACTATCTGATATTTCAGGGACAGCGACCAATAGTGAAGAGGAACTCCGTCCTTTTGCCCGGGCAAGACCTTCGACTGCTATCCGTGCTGACAGGCGAAAGAGATTAGCCCATAAGCCGCCTGCAGACTCGCGAGCTTTTGAGATGGACCTGGCTGGTGATGATCCTGCTAGCGACGGAGGTAACATCTACTCTATAGATCGTTCTCTTGATCGTTTAGAATTTCAGGCTTATGCCTTCCCATTCTATGCAGGAGAGCGCGAGGAAGGCGAGATGAGTCTCGATCATGCTCCTCCTGAGTTTGTATCTTCTGGTGAGCCTGACTCACCTTACCAGGTAGAAAAACCTGCAGAAGCCGCCAACTTTAGGGAGACTACCAATGTAGGACCTGATTCAGTGAATCCAGATACATCTATGAGAGGTAACTTATTTCCATTGGTCATATTCTCTTCATTCTTCTTTCGTACTTACATTTCTTTGTGTTAGATTTTTCGATTGACGATTTCGACGAGGCAGGTTTGCCTGCAGACACTTCTATGTTCCACTTCATGTATGACTCTCCTCAGATCGATGGCCCGCTGCCCGAGGATATGTTTCCTGAGCCCGTACTCCCTCAGGATCCCGAGAATGGTTCTTTTGAAAGTACGTGCCTCTTCTCGAGTTAATTATAGGACTAGCCAATTTTTTGACTAAATGTAGCTATAATGTAATGCATCTGAACATTCTGTTCTGTGTTTAACAGGAGCTTTTGCCGAGGCTGATCCTGCTGAGCCGGCTGTGAGACCAACTCCACCAGTTGACACACCCACAGCCGTTACGTCTCCGCTACCCCCAGCGACTCAAGGGGAAGGAGGTATAAATTAAGCCGCTGAAAATGTCATTTATTTCCTTATTAAGGCTTTTTGACGGATTTCTCCTTTTTGTGTAGGGCTTTCCTCTCGGCTTCATGTCCTCGTGAAGGAGTTGTTATCGGACAATGACCCTGAGAAGATCGTCATTTGTGTAGAAGTCCGCTCTTTCTTCTCCTTTATGAATGTTATGCTTGACAAACTCCTCCACGACGGACTTTCCCTTTGCCAGTTCAAACCATTCCTTGATTCTAAAATAAATTTAATAAGGGATGCGGGATACCCGGACCTGGCGA